AGCACTTTGAACTCGTCGTCTCGTGATCAAATTGCGAATCGTCGGGGACACGCAAGCACTTGATTGCAAGTGCAAGCAAGTTTGAACGTACACATTTGTCAGTGCACGCGTGGCCAGATTTTCATCGTGACACGCGTGTACGTGCTCGGGAAAGCGACGCGCTGGATTTTTCAGCCGTCCACCCCGCCGCCCCTTTTATTATTAATTCCGCTGCTCGTCCTTGGATTTCACGGATTTACGAGGTTCGCGCGTGCCGGCGAACACTTTCGAAATAGCTCCGTTCCTCTGAGCCACACCGTGTTCGTTCCTATATCCTGGAGACACGAAAATAAACAGGGGGCACACTCTGCAACGCGGCACGAAACAACGAAGACAACAACAAAGACGAATAGAAAGGATCACGCGCTCCTTAGTTCAGGTGCTCCTCGAGTTTACTTCTAATAACAGCTATATTTCTGTTGCAAAATCTGCGTCACTGGGAATTATGGTGACTTAAAGTTGGCACTTTTATGGCGGGCGTCATGCATAAATAAAGATATTAAAATGTCTATTGATACTAGAACAACCGTGTCAAAATATTCTACATCTAAGTTGTTACAGTTTGTATGATAATTGAAATAAATAGATTCACACGATTATTCTTCTGTCCAAATGGAAACTTTGGCAAGAATATCCTTTAATCATTTGTGAAACACGAATATCTGAAATCGATCGTTATAGTATTAAAATAATGAAATTGTACAACGATTTATAAAATTGCTACAACTATAACTTCAATGACAAAAATATCGATATAAATAAACAAATGAAAATATCTATTGGCAGTAGAACAACCGTATCAAAATATATTCTACCTAAAAGTCGTTATAATTTAAGTAAATTAAAATAAATAGATCCGTACAATTATGTCTCTTTGTGCAAACAGAAACAGGAACATGAATTTTGTCCAAGAATATTTGTATCTTTTAAGCATTTGTAAAAAATATAGGTCTGAAATTTTCTATATTGACGGGTTCGATTGTTAGGGTGTTGAAATAATAAAATTGTACAACGATTTATAAAATTTCTACAACTATAACTTTAATAACAAAAATATAAATAAACAAATGAAAATATCTATTGACAGTAGAACAACCGTATCAAAATATATTCTACTTACAAGTCGTTATAATTTAAGTGAATTAAAATAAATAGAGCCGTACAATTATGTCTGTGCAAACAGAAACAGGAACATAAATTTTGTCCAAGAATATCTGTATCGTTTAAGCATTTGTAAAAAATATAGGTCTGAAATTTTCTATATTGATGGGTTCGATTGGGTGTTGAAATAATAAAATTGTACAATTATTTGTAAAACGTCTGCAACGACATAGTTTTAATAAATAATGCATACTTCTCGCACGCAGCTGTCATTTCAAATATCCCGTCGGCAGAGTGTTAAATTACTTAGTTTTCGAATTGTCACTCGTCGTTAGCTTTAGAATCTCTATCGTTGGGGAATTTCTGCATCTTCGTGGCTGTTTAGAGGGAAGGTGAGCAAGGATGCAAGTATGGAAATTAAATTACCCATTATCCTCGAAAGAAGGAAGAAAAGCGGTAAATTAATCGTTACAAAGCCTTTGATAAAGTCTGGCTTGCGGGAGACGATCGTTTTTTTGACAGCTCTGCGGGACCGCGTGGATCAAAGGTAAAAAACTTTCTTCAACCCTTTATTTACCGTGAAAACGCTTCCATTTCTCATTTTTCCGAATCCTGCGGTCCTTTGTACGAAACGATTATTCCACGCTACGCCTTCCAATTTTTATTAATCGATCAGGGTGATAAAATCGAAAATCTAATTTTTCCTTGACAACGCTTAATAGTTGATTTATTCTTACGAAGTAAAATATTTCATTTCCACATCTGATTTTCCAATGCTCAATATTCGATTTATTCTTAATAATAATAAGTAAAAAATTAGTACAAATTGGTACAGTAGTTTCGAGCGGAGAGTTTTTTCATGTATGTTTTGAATATATATATATTTGAATCGAAAAGTCAACAACCAGGTTTCCAATTTCGTCAGCGTGTCGTCCATTTGAAAAATTTGGAGAGAGCTGATTTACTGTCGTAACTTTTGAAACTTTAGCTGATAGCCGTACGAAAACTTTGGAAATCCGTGAATATAGATAGTTGAAAATTAGCAAAAAACTTCGTGGCGTGAAATACCGTGCAACATCTTCCATGTCACATTCGAAATCCGAATTCGTGCGTGTGGTCGGAAACATTCAACTTTTAAATTACAACAAAGTTGAAATATCACGAATCACGCAGTAACAAAATCATTCCTATATTTCAAAATCTGCCAACTTACAAAACAATGATTTGCAACTTCATTCAAGAAAATACAATACACACGTACAGTAAGTCAGAGAAAGCATCGTTATACCTAGAATTTTGCCAATATCTTTGTGAAAACGAACGATGCACCAGCAAAATTTGTTTCCATAAATAGTTCACTAAATCAGATTTGAAACTGAAAATTATACGGTTAATCATTGGAGAAGTTCGCCCGACAATCATTGGAATTTGGTTCGACGTTCGTGGGGAAAACTTGGGGAACTTGTCGGTACGCAGAACGAGCATAGGAATGTTGGAATATCAGAATGACGTGGAAAGCCCCGAGGCTTGAGAACACCGCGATACCGGATTTACGAGACGCCTCGACAGATTTCACAGTTATGATCAACGTCGGACAAGGGATAGATTTTGCGGAACTCCCGCGTTTCCATCCGCCATTACCCGTTTACTTTGACTCAATTGACGAACGGAACCACTTTCGCAGATTGACTTCCTCGTGAGTATCGCGTCTTCGGATAAAAAAAGTCACTGCGTATTGTCTTGCTTATTAACATCGTGGAAGTAACAGGATTTAGAGAGATTTCACATTCGAAAATCGAAGAAATTGGAATAAAAGTGATCCTTGTCTCTTTAAAAAAAAAGAACAGAAACAAAAGACATTATGTCTGGAATACTTCAAATTTCATTATTATATGAAATTCGAAACGAAAGGCAGAAAACATTGTGTCTGGAATATTTCTAATTTTATTGGTCATGTAACGAGATGAGTGTAAAGTTGGAAACGAGTCTTGCATTTGGTAAAAAGTTAATTAAAAATCGGTTAGTCGGGCAATTGAAAATCCGACGACAGAGATAGATTCTTCATTTAAAAATTGTTTCGATATAAACTAGTAACTTTCAATTTCTTCAATATTACAGAGTCAATCTCTTTTCAACATTTGAAACGTTCACGCCATCCTACGTTAGTATATTTTCTCCGAGTTCAATTTCAATTAAACTTCGAACACGCGTTGTATATTTCTAAAAATTTCTCTGTTTATTCTTGAAAACAACATTCAAATATTCGCGCGGCGAATTCTCGAAAGGTGGAAGAAAATTGCAACGACTCGATTTACAATTCGATTTAACCGACGAAAAAACAACGACCGTTACCGCTGGACGTCCACATTATTTCGATCGCCGCATTTTCGACTAACCGCCGCAAGTTCTAAATAAATTCAGATACGCTCGCCGGGACTAAATGAACCGGATGAAATGAATTCGGCCAAACTATTTCCGAACTGCGCCGGTCCCGATTAATTCCCGGCGATTCATGATCTTCTTTGGCGCACAATACCTTCGGGTATCGATTAAAAGTTTCGCAGTTTGCGTAACAGTGTCGCCGGGAGTTATGTAACAACGAGGTTCCACGAGATTCTACGAGAATTTCGATTCTAATGGTTGGCAAAAAAAAAAAGTCCACGCGGAAGAATTGGACAGTCTTCTTTGAGTTTCGTCTCGAAAATACTTCATCTCGTCTCAGAGAGAATACATTTTCATTTTTCACTTCTTAACGCTTGATACCGGTATTGATCAAGAACGAAGAGAATTTAAATGAAACAAATTTAAAACCATGGACGATGATAATTCCATACGTTTCTCGAGATACATTGATTATTCGATTTTTAATACGATATTAGTATTTGATCGTGAATGAGTTATACAATGATATTAATTTAAAAAAGGATAATTTCACATATTTTTCTTTTAATATGTATTAATTTTAAATATTATAATATTTACGCCGAGCTGATCTTCAATTTTTAGCACGATGTTAATGTTTAATCGGGAATAAATTATACGATCATTTTAATTAAAGTTGAACAAAACAAATTTTAAAACCCAAATCGTATATGTATATTTCTCGTTCAATGTTGATTAATTATTTAAATGGATAATGGGAAAACTGGGACAAAATCCACTGTACACAGTGAAATGGACGAACGTATTCGCATACTTGATGAAAAATTATCTGTGCTTTAAATTGTTATAACTTCATAAAAAGAAATTGTACAGCTTTCAATTCAATTGATTTTAGTAGTCTTTTTTTCAAAAATATTTTTACATTATGTAGCGCCTGAGAAACTACTTTCGTTCTTAGAAAGCTGTAAAAGTTGCCTCTGAAAATATTAAAATTTTTTCATGACTATATTCACCATAATCTTGAAGATTAAAGTTTCTTCTCAAGACTTACTCTACGGTTTTTCTTCGCCACTTTATTGAATTTTGAATATCAGAGTTAAATAACAAAACGTCTGTGTTTCTTCAACTTTTAACTTTGATATTAGCAAAAGAAGAAAAAAAAAAAAAAAAAGACACGGTAAGTTTTATGGCGTTTATACGAACGGACGACTTTACTTTTCTTTGAGATCATGACAGATCTATCATAGTCATGAAACAAATTTCCAGCAATTTCGAAGACGTTCAAATTGTTACAACGAAAGTATCCTTACTGCATGCTGCGAAAACATGTCTGGGAAAGACGGACTCAAGGTTGTTTCACGCTCCAAAAAAAANAAAAAAAAAAAAAAAGAAGTCAACTGAATTACCACATCGGACAATTTTTCATCGCTCGAGTACTACCGTGTCCTAGTCCACGTTCTGAATATTAAAAGCGGTACCTTGTGCTTGGTGCGATGACGATGATAATGGTTGGGCCTTGGATGCTCGACAACGACGTGTTCGGAGGTGGTGGGTCCGAGGGTGGGGGTGTTCCCGCGGGGCGTACGGGAATGATGACGGGTGGCCTGGGCCGGCTGCTGTTGACTCCTTTTCGGCGACTGTTGCTGCTGTTGTTGCTGTTCCCTGTGCGTCTCGTGGCATCGACATACTGCCGACCCACCGCCACCACCCGCCGCTCCTCCGCCGCTGCCCCCGCCGAAGGAACCACCTCCGCTTAGAGCCGCCGCAGTCAGCTTGCTGGCGTAATAATACATCGCGCACATTTATCCGGCGAGAGCTTAACACCACGGCCTGCACGCCACCTCACTGCTGTCATCACTGACGTTAGCGATGACGGTCGACCGTGCTTAGCGCGCTGCTTTAAGGGTGCTGGCCCGGCCTTCGCCAGCTGATTTCACGCGAGCAAACCTTCCGATCTCTTACTCGAACGATCGTGCGATTCTCATCGATCCTCGATGCACGATTACTCGGTATATCGTTCAACAATCAGTACGATTTTTCTCTTACTCCTCTTCCTGGTATCCAGTACTATTCTATGATTTTCCTTTGCTTTTATCTATTTGCGAACGACGCGTGTGAACGAAATTACCCTCGAAGAATAATTCGTCTTCGGGTGTAACTCTGTTCTATGAACGGGGCAGGTGGACTCGTAGAAAATCCTGGGTACCGTGGGCTCTTGGTGGGTACAAGGCACTTGGTTCTCTCGTTTCGAAGAAGCTTCGCAGTTTTTGTCGTAGGTTTTTCGTTGCCCGACACTTGACGACGTCGACGACGATCCAAAGCTTTCCGAGACACGCGACGCGTTATCGAACAGAGTTTTTGGTGTATTTAGAGGAACGATTCCATCGGCCGGGACACTCTTCGTCGCAGCTACGTTTGTCGTTCGACGATTTATCTTAAATAATAACGCGGCGTTAGAGCCATTGGCGATTGTGGAATACGGGCTGATGCGATTATAAACGAACGTTTCGGTGCGCACGAGTTCACTCTCTCGCGCGGACCAGCCACGACTGAAGAGCACATTTGCGCTCAACTTTCGTATAAACAATCGTTGAGCGTAAACGCTCGGCTGCGTGTTCCTAGAAATGAAACAGGTTTCAACGCGTTTCCACATTGTTTTTGTAATCTGCTGTTTACAGTATAACTCCGTTCTATTTCGTACGAGGTTCTTGCATTCTGCTGTACTTTACAGCACTACGTTGCCACGTTGTACCGATTTCATACGGAGTTTGATGAAATTTCGTTCGCATAAAAATTTGGTCAAGTTAAAATTAATTTAGGGATCGTGATTATTATAACTGGAGTAGAAAGAGTTATCGAATAACAATCACGTTTTCCTTTGACTAAAATGTTTTTGACTAATTGTTTACAAATGACGATCACTAGTGATTGAAAAATATTTTCGTTAGAAAAATTTAGAACGGTTATTGGAAAACAAGGAAAACTCTGATTCGATTGTTCGATAGTTATTTCGACTCTCCTCGTCAATAATGATTACCGATGATGGAAAAGAATCTTCGGTCACTCATAATTTTTAATCATGCAGTTCTTTGAACAATTGAAAATTGTCTTTACATTTTGAGATTAATATTTTCAATTTGAATAGGGAACAAGTTTCAATTATTGCTGTTGTTGACGGAAATTTCTTAAGTTTAATTTATTTGTTCACAGATGAGTGGATAATGTATTATACCACAGGTGAACAAAGTAAGAAAAATATATAGAGTGTATTGAATCTATAGCTATTCATATAAAGAGTTACTTGAATCTTTTTTTTTTTTTAATAGGTGTTACTCAAATTTTTTTAATAACCTAGTACGTGAAACTGTTAAGATTAACGTGAATCAAATTTAGTAGAAAGTTGGTCCTCATTTTGGAAGGAATTAAACACCAGAAATATTACTAATGATACAAGTATTAATATTTCCACGCATTTAGCAATAGAATTGATTAAAATGTATAATTATTTGTAACATTTTTCGATTCGAAGGAAAAGTGGATATTCTTATTTTGTTATAAAACATGTTTAATAAAAACAACTTTGAATAATAGCAGGTCTGACCGAGAGAAACACAAAAGGACAAGTATTATAGTTATATAATAAAAATAATGCAACAAATATAAATTATAAATTATATACATAATATAAATTATTTAGAGTATATTGTAATAAAGACTCTGTTAATAGATTAATACATTATTTTATTGCATTATTATTATATTGTATTGTCAAACAAACATACACAATAATCCACGACAAATACTGAATCTTAAAAACAAAAGTGTCCTAAGATTATTAAGCGAAAGTGTACGTACAATCTGTCAAGATTCTCTTCGAGTGTAATAATAAAATACACTATATAGTGTGCAAATTCAAAAAAGAAAATGTCAGTGTGTCTGCTGTTAAACGTCTCGTAAATCTCAGCAAACTTGTCCCTGCGACTGAAATATCATCTGATATATTTCCATACATCTGCTGTATACGTTTCACTTGTTCATAAACCAAAAAAGGAGAATAACCGGGATCGTTTGATATCGATCGTGCGAAAAAGGAGTATTGTTTATGAGGTACGTCCACCACATGCACGGATCTCTATTTACAAAGGCTGTCTACGCGTCGAGCGACGGTTCCGGGGAGGTGGTTCACTGTTAAAATCCCCGTAAATCTTCTTCTCCATAAAAGTCGAACGAATTGCAAGCGCACAAAGCGGCACGGTATTAAAACGCCGCTCGGAAATCCAACCGGCTGTCTATGATCTATCTGTCTTTCGCGTAAATATCTCGTACGATTGTACGATTGACTGAAAAATACGATCGGTTGAAACGCGAACACTCTTGCAGCCACGCCGAAAGAAATAATCGCGCTCTACGAGCGCCTCGTCGTGGTTGATTTTTAGACTTTTTGTTCGGTAAAGAGATTTCGTTCTCAAACGAAAATTTTCATCTTCACGCGTGGACAATTCCAAGTCTAGAATTTATCAATTTTTCTTCGTTATTCAACGCCGGTAGAAGACACAGTGACAAACTTTTTTGTGAACGTCGACTGAACCCAAGAATAACTGAAAAATTTAACAAGTTAAAATGTTCGATCAAGGCGAAATTAGAAATTTTTCAACCAGCGATTCGAGAAGCGTTCTAAATTTTAATCGAGAAAGTTTATAAATACCAACGGGGTTACGATCAAATTAACCTACCCTTTCGAAGCGAGCGAGAATAGAAATGCTAGTGATTCAACAATTTTTATTTCTGCCCCGATCGACTGTTTGCGTACGTTGCAAATTTCATGGAACGTTCGTTTCAAAAAAAAGGATCGATGGACGTGTTTCATGGACGCCTTGCGCGAGGGGTGGGAGGAGGGAGGGAGGAAGGGGGAGGGGGAGGCAAATTGAAATTTTCCACGTTTAATTGTAAGTTGAGCATAAGTGACGATTATCAGGGGGAGTGGCGGAGATCAAAGGGAACGACGGAAATATATAGATGTGTATGTGTGTGTGTGTATATATATATACACATATATATATATATATATAGACTTCAGTATCGGTGCAACGATGCGGCTTCGTTGGGTAGCCTTGAGAGGATACAAGGGTTGATCGACCCTCACAGAGGGAGTTTGAGGGTTCATCGAATTATCCAAAGGGGGTTACTATTAATTACCGACGAATTAGCGTGTAACAAACGTTATGCTCTTCCTCTTCTCGCTGTGCTCGGATAATCTGGTAGACGCGCGACGACCCCCCCCCCCCCCCCCGACAAATTATCAACTTCATAATGGCTTCATTATTGTAAAATGCGCGCGGCGGAATCTTTCAGGGAGGCAAATTGATCATTAACAACTTTTCAATTTATTATAACGCGCGTAACTGAAATTCTCGCTGGAAACTATCAACGAGTTTCACGCAAATTGCTGCGAATATTGTTTTTAATAATTCTGGGATTTTTAAATCTAGAATTCTGGGACTTTTAAAATCCAGAGCACGTAGAAAATTGCTCGTGGACGATTATCAACTGTCCGAGACAGATTGTCAAAAATTTGAAAATTTTTTTCTACAGCGTAAATGTACATTGTATGTGAATTTTTTCAACAGTCCGAATATTTCGTTTTACCGAAGGCTACACTAAAATTTTATTTCTCAATTGTTCTCGTTTATACGATACAGTGGGTAACTGTTCGATAATTCAAACTACAGTCTACTACTGTTGGATACATGTAAATGTATGCATTTTCTTCTCCGCGTATATAGCACATACATTCGCTATTTCGCAATAACGCGCAACGATAAGAATCAAATTAATTCATCCCAACTCCCCCACCTCCCCCCGTGGCCATCACCTTCGTTACAATCATAAGTAACTGCATGCGATCGGTATCTAGTTGAAACGCGTAACGAGGCAATGAATAAATTATACGGCGTCGCCGTATTTCCATGAGCGGCGAACAGTGACAGGATCTGGTAACAACGTCATCCCGAAGGATGCGACGGTGTACGCGTAATAATAATAATGTTTTCTCGCCTGTCAATCGACCGCCATTAACCACGAATACACCGCAGGAACTTGGGCAAGTTCATACTCTTACGAACGAAAAAATATTCGTACGATTAGAAAAGACGGTAGAAAACAAAAAAGAAAGAAGAGAAGTGACGATTCGCATCGAGCTGTTAAACATTCGTTGTGCTTTCCATCCTGTCTCGTCTTTTCAGTGAAAAAAAAAAATTGATTCTTTGTCCGCGAGAGAGTCGGAGAGAGGAGGACTAACGCGATTTTACAGCTCGGTTGAAAAGTCCAAGTGATAAATTTCCACGATTGGGAACCGCTCCGTTGGACTGGAATTGGAACTGTGTCAAGCGTATCATCGTCAAAGGAGCAATTCTCGTTTCAGCAGATGTTAGACAATCACGAGGAGCGTTGTCGGCCTCCCGAGGGACGCGTCGTGCACCAGAGCATTACGAGATAATGCTAATATGTTACCAGGTGTCATGATTGTCTATGATCGGAGTGCACACGGGCGATCGTTCGTGACGAGTTGTTTCAAACAGACGGGCGCGCGTAGTTGAAAGTAATTGAGAGTGAAAGTGCCTCTTTGAACAAAATCGAAAGCAAAATTTAACTTGCAAATTAACCAGCAAATCAAAAAAGTTTAGATCGAAGATTTAGTACGAAATTCTATTTCAAAGACAACGTGAAACATTCTGTAACGACGAAATTTTAATTTTTGCGATAGCTGCGAGGAACGATCAAGTTCCTCCTGCGAAACGAAGATAGACAGCAGTACAGTTTCGTTTCATCCCTACGGCTTTACAATTACTATCGATCATTCCTCTTTCCACGGCCCCGTGGCGCAAAGGCAAACAGACATCTAATGGTATCAAACAGCGATATTAATA